CAGTTGATTAGATTATAGGATCAAAGAAGTGGAAGAGCCATTTAGATTAGTCACAGGATGATAGATGATGGATAGATGACAGAATTATGTTGAAGGGTCTCACATGTCATCTAGACTCATGTTACAGATGAAGAAATTGAACCTAGAGGTGAGGTAAGTGACTTGCCCAAGGTTACAGTAGTCAGTAGGTGGCAAAGTCAAGATTTGAACCTGTGTCTTTTGCCTAAATTCATCCTTGTTTCCATTGCACACTGCAGGTTTAGATAAGACCATCAAAGCCTAAGCACCATCCTGCTCATTTCAGTCAGTCAACAAACATTTATTAAGTACCTGATGTATGCCAGGCACTATGCTAAACACTGGGGATAGAGGCAGACAAAAGACAGTCCTTGTTCTCAAGGGATTTACGGGAAGAAATTGAATCCATGAGCAGGTGACTTACTCAAGTTCACAAGAGTAGCAAACCACATAGATGGGATTTGAACCCAGCTCCTCTGACCTCTAGTGATTTTAATGCCATTGCTTCCAATGGGTCTTTTTGGGATGGATGGAGCTGTTTCTCATTTCCTAGCTGCCTCCCTGAGTCACTGCCCACCTGAGGACAGCCTAGGGCTAGGGAAGTGGCATCAATTCACCCCAAGCCTCAGGAAGGATCTTCAGGAGCTTCTGAGCCAAGGACGCTTTTAGGATGTCATTCCAATTAGCAGTTTGGAGAGAGCAGCCAGTAAATCCCAAAGCCACAAGCACCATTCCAGCTTTAGGAAATTTTTAGGAAACTTTGAATCCAAGGGAAAAAATACTGTCTGGAATCTTGAGCATCTGCTTTTTGTCACTGGAATATCCTGTCACTAGAGTGACTTGAGTACTTCCCTTTTGTCCCTGGGAAAATGAACCCAGAGAAAAGGCAACACCCTGAAAATGGAGGGACTTGACTAATCATTGATACTGACTGATGCTGTTTATCACCCCCTCCCACCTTCTAGGATATATTAGGAAGGTTTCTTTCAGCATATTGTCATGGATTGAGTAGACATCTTAAAGAACATTGAGGAGACCAAATTACCCAAGGTCAGAGGGGAGGGCTTGGAGGTTTCAGAGGACATTCAGAGAAAAAAAAAAAGGTATGGAAATGACTGAAACATTAGAAAGTAGAGCACATAAAGGACTAGAGGAAATCTGTTGATTTAATCTGGGAAAAAGAATGTGGGAGGAGAGCTGAATTCCATAAATACATGGAGAATATTCGATCTGAACATAGGACTTAATGGACCAGAAGACTTAGGCTAAGGCCCTTCTGCTGACATCTACTAACTAACTAACTGTGCTACTTTTGACAAATTAAGTAACTTCTTTGTGCCTCAGTTTCTTCATCCATAAAATGGGATTCATAATATTTGTCCTCAAATCCTCATAGGATTGTTAGGAGGGTTAAATGAAATAATACATTTAGAAGTAAAAACATTAAACAAAATCAAGTTGTTTATTTGCTTATTACATGTGATTACATGGATGTAGGCGGCCCCTAGTTTGGAAATTCCCTCCATCTATGCAGATTGGTAGCTCTTTTTCTCTCAAATGAGACATTTGTTAAAAAAAGATGGGGTGATTAACACAATGCCTAGTATGTTAGTAGGTAGTAGATGTTATATAAGTGCTTATTCCCTTACCGTCCCTTTTTCTGTAATTTAGCGTCTTAGAGAGCTATGTGCAACACTGAGAGACTAAAGAAATTGACCAGGGTCATGCAACTTACACACACACACACACACACACACACACACACACACACACACACGCATATATATACACACATACATATACATACACACACACACTATACACACATATCAGTATATGTCAGAATTGATAATTGAACTCATGTCTTCAGGCTCTAAGACCGTCTTCTCTGTCATGCTATCACCATCATCATCTGAAGGATAGAACGTGTGAAAAAAGGCTTAAATTAAAATTAGAAGGATTTAGGCTCTTCTTAATGAAGGATGCTTTGGCCATACTGACAGTGACTACAGGGAGGGGTTATGGATGGAATTCTTCACCTTGGTAGGATAATTTCAGTGCAGACTTCCCAGGAATCCTTTCTCATCCCCACATTGCATCAAATTGTGCAATCACATCCCCTCCCCAAACAAAATATATTTATTTTCTGTCTTCAAGCTTGTTTTTCTCCAAATACAACTATCTCTTGATTATGATTTTGGGAGACAAGGATTCCATAGGTGATTAAAGTCCAGGCGTTATTGTAAACTGATAAATTCCCCTCCTTTTCTTGCTAAGCTTTTGATAAGATAACCCTCAGCCCCCCTCCTTCCAAATGGGAAGAGAGAGAAGGGGTAGTTGAGTTTCTATATTTAATTTTTTCCTCTGTCCTTTGCTAATAAGTAGCAGATTGTTTGTCTCTAGGGATCCTGGCTAGAGGGTAGTGGGAACAAGAAATGAAATGAAGGTAAGAGTTTCCAGGCTGGCCAAAGTAAAGATGTGCATTTAAATTTCAAGATAGAAATTGGAGGTATATGTTATGTAGATGGCAAGGGTATGCATATCACCTCCTCCCACAGATTATAGGAATCTGCTATTTCCTTTTTAGCCAAGCCTCATAGGATCAAACCATAGCGAATTTGTTGAAGGAATGTGGCATGTTTAATATGAAGAAAAGACTTAACCTATATGAGACTTTATATAAGCAGTGCCTTCAAGTATTTGAAGGGCTAACTGTGGATGAGAGATTAGACTTGTTCTTCTTGGGGAAGGGAAGGTTGAGTAGGGGCAAAATAGCAGCAGCAGCAGCAGCTTTCCTAACAGTTAGAGTGATCCAAATGTGAAATGGGCTGACTTGAGACTTAATACAATTAATAGCTAAAATTTTGTAAAACCTTACCAAATATCTCATTTGATCCTCACAGAAACCTTGGGAGGTAATGGATCTTCCATCACTGCACATTTTCCAATGAATTCCAGCTGTGTATTGTTGAGGGGATTTCTTATTTATATGTGAGATTGGGCTAGATGGCCCTTAAGATTTCTTTCAGTTCTGAGATTGTATAGTTCTGAACCTGTACAGAAACTTTTAATTTACTAGTGTTCAAAATAAAGTGCCCCTCCTTCACCTCCCTTCCCTCTTGTCCTACTTTCATTTAGTTTCTTTTCTGACCTTTCAAAGTTTTGTCAGCTTCTTGTGCTTTGTTGCCACTGTTTCCTGAGATCATCATATAAAATAACCCATGTTCATGTAATGTTGAATGTTTCCCAACTGTGATCTAGGTAATCTAATTGTCATGGAAGAGGGGTTTGGACATTCTGTATGGGGCTTTCTGTAGCATCTTTCAAAAGTCTCTGATTTCCGCCTCATTTGCTCTTTTAGTCTGGCTCCATCTGATTCACTTTGGTTTGGAATGGGAACACAATTTTCCACCTGAAATAATAGTCATTCTAAAGCTAGGCATTGCCCCAAAGGTAATGTCTGCCTTCCAGAGTTCAGTCTGTCTGAAAAACACAACATGTCTCTCATGATTGTACTTGCCAGTGGCTTTCTGTGATGAGATGTTGAAAGCAGATGTCCAATTGGCAGTTGACCTCCTCAAATGCTGTTTATTTATTATCCTTTTGCCTGCTTGAAGAGGTTATCAGTTTTGTGACTTGTGAAGATGGAGTCAGATACACACATAGATTAATGTGGCCTTTAAACATCTTCCAAATCTTCTGCCCCTTGGTATGAACATTTCGAGAGACGTCAGAATCAAGTACCGAAGCTAGCTGGTTGTTCGATGTGTAACAACTGGCAGTCTATCTTGTGTATGAATAGCCACTGAGTCTGGAACGTCTTCCAGACTTACTTGTGGCATGTTTTCCTCTCCTTTTGTTGAATGGAATATTCTCTGAAAGGAAGCTTCACAGCTGGCTAGTCATTTCTTCCTCACTTTTGCAGTTACTATTAAATATATTTTAAGCTACACTCTGTCGTCCTCTGCCAATTCTATCTGTTCCTTTCTTTAGTTATATACTCTCTTCCACTTATCAGTCCCCTTTATGGTATCTGAGATTTAGAGATGGAAGGGACCCAAGGGGTGGTCCATCTGGCCCCTTCATTTTAAAGAATGGGAAATAGGCCATTGGAGGAGAGGTGACTTGCTGGATGTCATCAAGGTAGGAGAAAATAGCAACTCTTGGATTCATGTTCTTCGACCCTAAAACAATTTTTTGAGTACTTCTACTTTAAAGGCAGGGGGATATAGCAGCAATAGAAATAGATTTAGAGTCAGAGAGTTTGAACCCTGGCATTGTCATTTATTTCCTGCACAATCTTAGATTAATCACATCCCCACTTCAAGCTGATATTTCCTTGTTCATAAATAAAAGGTTTAGGGCTGACTGATCTCTAGAGTTCCAACTCTAAACCTCTCTGTTGACTCTGGTACTCTCTCCCACCAGGTCACATTTCCATTCACTTACCTCTTTTATCTTTTTTATGTGTATGTCAGTATGTATGTATATTTGTAGGTGATTGGGAGTGACGTGACCAAAATCACACAGACATTCTGTGGCAGAGCCAGGATTCCAACTCGGGTCCTTGTGGTTTCACGTTCATTGCTCACTCCAAAGTCCCACTGGTTCCCTAGCATACTTCTTCCTTGAGTTGGACCTTGAAGAATGGGCAGAATTGAGTTGGGTAGAAGACAAAAAGAGAGAATTCTAGGAAGGGAGAATGGATCTGAAAGGTTATGATAGTGATAGTATAACATGTAGAGTTATAATAATAATAACAGGAAGGGAGGAAAGGACAGAAGAAGAATGGATAGATGGAAGGAAGGAAGTACTGACCAACCAGTTGACCGATTAAGCTAATAACCTTAAGCAGCGACTGGGATCAAATAATTCAGCTTACTTTCTGAGGCTGCAGGAATGTGATGCGCAGCTTAAGTATATGCTTTTGTTCCGCACTGTTCTGGCTAACACAAGTATGGGCTCTTTTCTCTCTTTTCCAGAGGAGCTCGGCCAGCAAGACTTCAGGTGCTCCTTCCTACAGCAGATGGTCCAGCTCACAGCCGCATCAGGTAATACACCCTTTTCAAGGTGAACACCAACATCTCAAATTCCCTTGGAATGTGTTTAACCATATAATTATTCATCCCATTTTCTGGCATGACTAAAACCCAGCATTGCCATAGGCACATTTGTGGACTCCTAGGCCCTCATTGATGGGCATACTCATCTAGGGCTCTGATTTAGTCATTCTAGATTCTTCCCTGTTGACAAGGGATTAGGGAAGTTGTTACTTAAGCCATTAGTTTGTACACCAAAGCCATGTGTGTGGTAATTTGTCACAGGTTGGGTTGGTGTTGGGGATGATGATGACAATGGAAGGAGGGTAGAGGGGCTTGTGGAAGGCTAAGCTGTTTCTTTCAAAACATTCCCCAGATAAGCCAAGTCAATCAGGAAAAAGATATATTTGAAAATAATTCTATCTCTGTTAACCTTCTGTTCTTTCTCAATTGAATCATACCTTCCCATGCTCATTATTATCATGAAACCAACTTAAAGAGTATTTTCAAATGTCTTGAGGACAGGTGCCTATTTACTCTGGCTAAGTAATACTTAGGCTAGCTATGAGAAGTGTGCAGAGTACATCGCATGTCAGAGTCCTACAACCTGTGACTTTGCAGATGGAAACATCCAAGAAAACAGGTAGATGATATTGCCAGGGATACAGCTTGGCATATACTCTGGTGACAAAGTGTCATCTTGCCCAAATTCTTCACTGGGTCCTTTTGGCCAGGACCTTGGTCAGCTCATGTAAAAGGCTTTTTACATGAAACTTTCCCAGGGACCTATACAACACAGGGGAATGCAGAGAGTCACAGGGGAGGTCACTTAGAAGCAACAGCCCCCCACAGATGGATGTCCCCAAAACAAGGAGGGGACTTGGAACAGCAATAGAAAAGGCCAATTTAACTAATGTTAGCCTACCTAGATGGTCTGCTACTGTCTGCTTTTGTTTTCTGGCTGTGGGCAGCCCTACCATGAGAAAGAGGTTGGTGGGCTCCCAAAGGGATATTGACAGTAGTGAAATTTTGCTTCTCCATCCCTTCCTTCCCACCTCCCCCCCCCCCCCCCCAGTTCAGCTGTCCTGGTTTTCTTAGTGTGATAATGATACATCTTCTTAGGTGACTGTAAACTAGTAATTTAATACATTTTCAGAAATATTTAAAGTGGGGGGCTACTTGGGAAGTTATAGGAAGAGCCAAGAATGGACCCTTCTTTGAGGTATTTGAGGTGCTTCTACCATGACCGTTGGTGGTGGAACTAAAGCAATAATAGGGGCAGAAACATAATATTGGTAGTATCTTGTGTGTCCCAGTGGATCTTACTTTATCACTGAATTTGCATAGCTATTATGATTTTTGATGACCTGGAAGAATGTACTTATTGCAGCTTAGTTGATATGGGATGGGGCACTGTAATTGTAGAAAAAATGAATGGTGATAGTCACCAGTGAAATTTTGGTGGCTTTTTCTTCCTTTGAAATGGGAAAGGAAACAGGTCTGTGAGTTAGGAAATCTGCCTTTGAAACCAATACCTTCCAGTGACTGTGAATTTAAGTGAGTCACTTAGTGTCCTTATACACCTCCTTGTTCCTTAGAATCATAAACTGTTAAATCTAGAAGGGATTTGGGAGGTAGATCAGCTAGTCCTCTTTTTACATAGAAAGAAAGTGAGCCCTGAAGAAATTGCCTCAACTTCATCTTTTTGCCCAGACCTACCTCTCTTCTGGCCAACTTTTGTCCCTGTTACCTGGGCATATCACCTGAGATCTATTTGATTTTTTTTTCTCATCTAATATATCCATTGAGTTGACAAATCCTTTTGATTCTTTCTCAAAAATATCCCTTCCTCTAATTCCCTCTGCAGCTACCATTATGCATGCTTTTATCTCTTTCCTCCTGAATTAATGGACTAATTGTGGAGACAGTGTGGTTCAATGGAAAGTGTATTGATTGGATTTAGAATTGCAGGAATTAGGTTCAAACCCTTGCTTTGCCACTTACTATCTATGTGTGACCTTGTACAAGTCACTTGACCTCATTGAGCCTCAGTTTCCTCATCTGTAAAATGAGGAGGTTGGACTAGATTATCTCTAAAGTTCCTTCTAGCTCTAAATATGTTGTTTCCATGTTTCTATGATATTCTTACCTCTCTTGAACCTGACGTTCTGTGTCATTCTGAAAGGTTTGAGTCTGTTCCTTTTCCAATTCATCTTTCACATGTTCTTTGATTTATTTTCCTAATGTAGTTCCTTGATTATGCATGCTACTCCACTACTCACCAATCTTTAATTGATCCCTATCACCTTCTGAATAAAGAATATCCTTATGAATGTGGCCTTCACAGCCCATCATGATCTGGCTCTGATCTGCTTTTCTAGTCTGATCACATATTAGTCACTTCATCTACAGACAGACCACATCTACACTCCATCTATTATTCTTGTGCTGTCCTCTCATCTCTGTGTCTTTGCTCATGCTGTCTTCCAGGCCTGGAGGGAACTCTTTTCTCTTCCACCCACTTATATCTGAGCCTCTTCCTTTCAAGGTTCAATTCAGGTGCCATCTCTTTCACAATGGTTCTCCTCTGCACTTTCCCTATACCTCCTCCTCCTCTTTCTTCCTTACTCAATGAAAACTGGTTTTTCTTAAATATTTTTCTAGCAGTTACTTGTACCAATATTTCATTGGATCATAAATTGAGAACTAAAAGGGATCTTAGAGATCATCTAATCTAATGTCTTCATACTACAGATGAAGAAACTGAGGTGCCAAGAGGGATTGGCCCCAAGATTACACAGGTCATATGATCCTAACAGAGTCAAGGTTTGAACTCAGAATCTATAACTCCAGAACCAGTGCTCCCTTTGCTACAATGCCTCTCTAAGATTCTAGTCCAATGCCCTAATTGTACAGATAAGTAAACTGAGGATCAGAGGGGTTAAATGGCTTACCTAAAACCATACACATAACAAAACCAGTATTGAAACTCAGACCTTACCCCCCCAAATACAGTGCTCTTTCCAAAATAACACATCATTTCCCCTTGTATTATAGTTATCTGTAGTTATGTATAGTTATATAACTATATCTTATAGTTATTATAGATGCATTCCCCTCATTGTTTATTATTTCTTGAAAACAAACAGCACTGTCTCTGTCTTTGTATCTCCAAATGCAAGAGTCACATACATATTTAGTGGCCAAGCCAGCGGTAGAAAGTGGGTCTCTGGGCTCCTGTTCCAATGTACCAGTTTACTTCTTTCTAGCTTGTAAATACCTTTCTGTTGATGACCCCGTGAATTTCTTTAGGTATGAAAATGTGGTGTAACAGATAGGATACTGGTCTTGGAGTCATGAGGACCTGCATTCAAATCTCAGCTGGAACACTGGGCATGTTGCTTAATACCTCCTAGCCTCAATTGCCTCATCTTTATCAGAAATAACTGTAGTACCTCCCTCATGGGCTTGAGGGACTTACAAGGAGAACCATTGATTCATGGTTGGAGTCAGAGCAGGGAGAGATATATTGTGGTTAAACAAAGGGCTAAACAAACCCTTTTAACAAAGAGTTAAACAAAGATAATTGTGGGTAATGTGCTCTGCAAAGCTTAAAGCCTTGTATAATACAGCTATCATTTATATTGTGCTTTTATGGTTTTCAAAGCACATTACATATTCTATTATCTTAGTTGATCCTCACAACAGTCTGAGTAGGTGCTATTATTATATAAATGTCAGCTGTTATAATCCAATTAATAATCTTACAATAATCTATAATAGTATTGTAATAATCTGTAATCATATTATTTATACAATTTCACTTAAGGGAGACATCAAGTGTCTGATTGCATTGGGTTCTGGTCTGCTCAGTACCTTTTAATGGGGAGAAGAGAGTGAACTCTCCAAGGTACTGAAGGTTATTGAACAGAGGACAACTGTATGCTCAAGGTAGAACTGATCTTTTGGCTCCTGTCTTCACAAGCCTGGGAGGGCTCCTGCAGTTTTAATGGACATCTAAGTTTAAGAAGTTGTAATTTACAAAGGCTGCCTTTTCCCTAGCTTTGGATGTCAGGTTCTTGGCGTTTCAGAGGTGATTGTTTATCAGGGACTGATCTAATTAATGTCTCCCTCTATTAGAGGCTTTGAATTTCAGAAATGATATTTGCCAGTATGCTGACTCACCCTCTGGGCAAACTGCTGAAGAAACTTTTTCCTAGTTGTACTCACTCCTCAGACCTCTTTGGTAATCCTTTCCACCTCTCCAGCACATAGGCTAATCTTTCTTCTCCTTTGTCACTAGCACTCTAATCTCTTTCTCTTTAATTTGTGTTTATTGTAAAACCTTTGTCTTTTGTGTTTGGGATTTAACAGGCTTAGGGACTTCACAGGCATTGCAAATACCTACACAAATAGTGAGACTGAGCTGAATGGGAATGCTGAAACTCAGCGGGGGGATTCCTGCTCTGGTGCCCTCCTGTGAGGTTTGGCATCCACATCAAGTCCTTACTGACTCATGGATTTGTATGCCTCTCCATTTGTTTTTGAAATGATTTGAGTAAATCATAGATAGAGTATGAAACATAGGCCCAATAATCCATCTTTCACAGTCCCTATAAAAATCTTGGAGTGTGGCAGAAGAAGTACTTTGGGCATGAGATTGTCTGGGTTCAGGTCTCTGTTCTGCCCCCTTGCTATCTATGTTGGCTTGGGTCAAAGTCATTTGCCCTCTCTAAGTCTCAGTTTTTTATTTATAAAATGAGAGGGGGGTGGCTAAATCAAGAGTTTCTGAACTGAGACCAATAGGGAATGGAAAGGGAAAAAGCATTTATATAACATTTACTGTGTGCTGGGCACTGTGCTAACTTCACCAATATTATCTCATTTAATCCTTACAACAATCCTGCAAGGTCAGAGCTATTATTACTTCCATTTTACGGTTGAGGGAACTGAGGCAAACAGAAGGTTACATGACTTCCCCAGTGTCACACAGTTGGTAAGTGAGGCTGGAT